GTGTTCATGACGCAAGAAACAAGGACTCCCACCAGCCGTAAAAATTACTGCCTCTCTACCTCTCATATTGACTCGTGAGTAAGGTCGTCGCCCTCACCCCACGACCCCCGGACACAAACTCACCAAACTTCTCACCATAAATGACTCGTAACCGAAAATAAACAAAATACACTTAACTGTTTAACTCGTGCTAAAACATTAAACCAGTAAGGTGCATTACTGCTTTATCACTTGCAACGAACATTTGTGAATACCAACCCTGGCTCACCTCACGTCATCTCACTCCCTGACTTAAGATTGTATTGTGTATTGTAGAAATGAACAGAAGAAAAAATCTACAACTATAATAATAATAATAAGTGATCAATATAGCAGTAAAGTATAATGCACTGTAGGTCGCAGGTAAAATTCACTTGATTAGTCTCTCTCTCTCTGTCTCTCTCTCTCACCTGACGAGGAAGGAGACGGATGCCCCAGGGACGTTCCTCCTTCACCAGGTTCGAGGAGGATGACCCGGAGGGTTCACGAGAGAGACACGCCTGAGTAATTTATTCTCTCCCTGGACGACACCTCACCTTGGTAACAGAAACAGCTATTTTGTATGGCAACTGAACACACACACACACACACACACACACACACACACACACACACACACACACACACACACACACACACACACACACACACACACACACACACACACACACACACACACACACACACACACACACACACACACACACACACACACACACACACACACACACACACACACACACACACACACACACACACACACACACACACACACACACACACACACACACACACACACACACACACACACACACACACACACACACACACACACACACACACACACACACACACACACACACACACACACACACACACACACACACACACACACACACACACACACACACACACACACACACACACACACACACACACACACACACACACACACACACACACACACACACACACACACACACACACACACACACACACACACACACACACACACACACACACACACACACACACACACACACACACACACACACACACACACACACACACACACACACACACACACACACACACACACACACACACACACACTTACCGTATACAAAATGGTTTAGTCTCCTTGCATCCTTCATTGCCCGGCATCTCCCTCCTTCACTTGGCATTCCTTCCCGTTCTTGGCACTGGACTCCCTCCTGCCTGGCGCCTGGTGTATGGACCCTCAGTTGGCACCAGCCCCATCGTCTGACTCCCTCTTGGCACTACCTCTTACTGCCTGGCACTCTATCTTGCTTCCTGGCGAGTCCTCTTACTGTTCGATAATCCTTCATACTGTGGCACTCCTTCATACTGTGTGGCACTCCTTCATACTGTGTGGGACGCCATCATACTGCTTGACACTCCTCCATGCGGCCTGGAACTTCCTCTTACGGCCTGGCAATCCCTCTTTTTGGTTGACATTCCTTTTTACTCCCTACACCTTTCTCTACGAGGTGGCACTCCCTTTTACTGCCTGGCACTCCGTCTTTCTGCCTGGTACTCCTTCAGTAACTGGGTCACGATGACCAGGCGTTGGTATCTGGGCTACACACAATCTGGGCCGCGGTGGCTGAAGGACGGGTTAAGACCCACCGAGTTAACACCACCAAGTCTGAGCCACACGATGATGGCACCACATTAGAGGCGCCGGGGGTACTGAAGCTACGGTATTGAGGCTAAGATGTCAGAGGACGAGGTACTGAAGCCATGGTAATGAGGCCAAGATGCCAGGCGCCTTAACAATAGGCTCTGGCGTCGTTAAGTCAGAAGTTGAGGGTTACATGGGAGTCAGACTACGGGCGAACATTTGTCTGTCGTAGCTTCCATGAGCGTATCATTGTTAGGTGGGAAGGAACGCCAGGTGTTGTTGATAGCTCGTGCTGGCGCCGTTTTTATGATGCAGGTCATAGAGAAACGCGCCTAGAGTGGAGCCAATCTAGCTGGTGCACTAAGTCCTGTGATTTAATCTCCTGAAGGCATCACTGAACCGAATGTTTTAAAGAGACTCACAATAAACGCAATTTTTGTCCACCTTCCCTTCCCATCTCCCCACCTCCCCCTCCGGGCCTAGTACTGTAAATGCCACGGGTGGAGATCAAAACAAAATTTATTCCTTTGATAAGTTATAGAGAAAAAACTTACTCTGCCTTGCTCAACTAGTGACTTTTTTTTATCAACATACAGGTATCTACAGGTAATACCAGGAATAACATCTTACAGGTGAGGCGGACCAGCGTTAAAACTAAGTCGTCACCGTTATAAAAATGATGAGGGTTTTGTAATATATTTTCACTAAGTATTACTACACTGGTACCGACACCCCCCCCCCCCTGTACACTAGTCCAGGTACACTCAGGAATACATGAGCACAATATGAGGTGCGCTGCCCGATGGTGGAGCAGCCCTTGGGTGGACTAACATCCTGCTAGGGCGGTGAAATAACTCAGTAGCTGCTGAATACTAAGAATCAGTGGATCAGGTCCTGACCAGCCTGTACCATTGTGTGAAAAATGGAAAATACTTTACTGAATGACTTAATGCAGTGTCTCGTGTAGCACCTGAGCTACTGACACCTGAAGAATATTTTACGGGTCACTTTACAAAGATGTTATCAAAGGTGATGTTAGGGTGACTGCTGGGCTCTCCCTGCCTCTGACTTCAACCATACTCTCTCCACTTGACGTCACGAAGTAAGGCTGGCGCCATTTTGTCAACACATGGTGCTCACTAGGTGATACACCTGTTGTTACTACTAGGTGTATGTGAGAGAGAGAGAGAGAGAGAGAGAGAGAGAGAGAGAGAGGTAGTGAGCGGGGGAGGGAGGGAGATGCGTCTCTTTAATACTGTGAAACTTTGACGAGAAAACCACCAGCACTCTCACTCTCTCTCTCACTGTCTGTCTGTGAGTGAGTGAGTTAGGAGTAAATGAATAAGTGAATGAGCAGTTAATAAATGAGAGAGAGAGAGAGAGAGAGAGACTGTGTGTGTGTGTGTGTACCATAACATCACCTCCCCCCTCATAATCTACCTGTGCTATACACCAATCCACACAGGTAAACAAGGTCACCCACCACATGACCCTGAACTCTGACCTCTAATAACCCCATCATGACCCTGAACTCTGACCTGATAAACTCATCATGACCCTGAACTCTGGCCTAATGACCTCTCTCCCCTTTGACCTCTAATAACCACTCGTGACCCTGAACTTTGACCTCCCGGCGGACTACTAACATGACCTTGAAACTTGTGACCTTTGACCCCGGTTCACGTCCTTCTTACGTAAACATGTTTAGTGACGTCATCCAGTATTGGTGTTGCGTATAGGTAGATAGATTAATGACAAATGGATTAACTGAAAAAAAAAATGCTTCAATATAATGACGACAGTTCGAAATATTTTTTTTATTAATGTGTATCACCAAACAACAACAACAACAACAACAACAACAATGTTCTCTGTTCTTTCCCTCATACACAGAACATGAACGACTTAAATCCTGGATAGAAATATGTCCAATGGTGAATCGTGAACAATGTAACTTATTAAAAAAAAATATAGTCACAAATGTGGAAAGTTGTTCAATTTTGTTCTAGTTTTCTACAAGTTTTCCATGATTGGTGAGTGTTTCAGAGTTTCCCATGGTATTTATTTTATTTCCATGATTTTTACAGGATTTTTAATGACTGTAGGAACCCTGGAAAGAAGAGGACAGGGGAAGAAGGTGGATGCGAGGAGGAAGGGGGAGGAGGCAAGCAAATGAGGTGGGTGGGTTTTGAGGAGAAGGAGGAGGAGGAATAAGAGAAGAGGGAAGGAGGACTGGAAGAATGAGAGGAGAAATGACAAGAGGAAAGGAGGAAGAGCAAAGGAGGTATGAGAGGAGAAACAAGGACAGGAGAAAGATGAGAAGGGAGGAGGTGGTGAGGGGAAAGGTAAGGGTGGAGCAGGAAGGGAGGAAGAGGTGAGGGAGGCTGAGGTGTGGCTGGTTACCATGACGACCATCAGACGCGGGTCACGTGCTACCTGCGTCAGGGCACCACGCGGGGTATCTCTCTCTCTCTCTCTACATTCTGGGGTCTGCCGCAGGATGGTGAATAAATCTACTTCGTTGTAAAATTTTTCGTCACTGTTCTATAATGATACTTATATTTCATTGTATATTTCGGCCGCTATAGTTTTATAATGAAAATAAATAAATATCCACCTCATTATATATATACTTGGGCGCCAGTGTGTGGGATAATGAAGACCAGCCATTACTCGGTTCTATATCAGGCCGCTAGCACCGTGCCGGAAACAGTTAGGTGCACGTGTTTTTACCTGTAAGTTTCCGAGAACCCAGACGAAAACCTCTTTGTGTGTGTGTGTGTGTGTGTGTGTGTGTGTGTGTGTGTGTGTGTGTGTGTGTAAATAGAAGTCCCGGATGCCTTCTGCCTTTCACACAACGCTCCGCCATATTGGAAAGCAATAAGAAATTTCCAGACTGTTTAAAAAAAAATAATTGTGAAAATGAGAAAGTGTTTAGGTAGGCGTCCGGACCTAACGCTATTCCTGTACTAATTTCCTTTCACCTTGGAATGACGTCAGCCAGCCGTGGGTGACGTCCAATAAACCATGGCGACAGAGAACTCAACCAACTCGGGGGTTCCCATTCACAGAAGCTCGTACGATCAAACATTATTATCTCGTAACTATAAGATATGATGAGTGGGGGTCTAACAAAGTATTCGTATATTGATTTTCCAGTCGTAATAGGAAGTTATCTTGGCTCACGTGAAGATTAGGCACTCCAGTTAATTTCACCAGAGGATTAATCACCCTAACGCTAGCCTAACCTAACCCTAGGTAGCGTTAGGGCGTTTAATTATTAATTAATGACCAAAGAAGAACGACCAGGACTCACCTAGTTCCTTGAGCTTGTCGGGCTTGGTGACGGGGTCGTCGCAGCAGGGGAAGCCGCCCACTGTGTAGAAGCAGAGTTTCTTGTTCAGGTAAAGAAACAGCACAAACAGGAACACTACGAACGCTGCCACCGCCCCTAGGAATGCTGTCGCCTCCACCGGCACTGTGGGAGGGAGAAAAGTAAATAGAGAGAGAGAGAGAGAGAGAGAGAGAGAGAGAGAGAGAGAGAGAGAGAGAGAGAGAGAGAGAGAAACTGACCTAACAAACAGCTCATAAATAAACTAATTAATGTAGGGTCTTAATTTTACGTATATAAACATCAATTATCTTACTAATGAAACCTGAAGAATGAAACACAATTAATAAAAAAAAACTCATTCAGTATATAACTCCATTAACACGAGACCTACCAGTTAAGTACACCTTGATGGATGAATGAATGAATGAATGAATGAATGAATACCTTGATGAATGAATGAATGAATGAATGAATGAATACCTCGATGAAAGAATGAATGAATGAATGAATGAATACCTTACTGAATGAATGAATACCTCGATGAATGAATGAATACCTTACTGAATGAATGAATACCTCGATGAATGAATGAATGAATGAATGAAAGAATACCTTACTGAATGAATGAATACCTCGATGAATGAATGAATGAATGAATGAATGAATACCTTGATGAATGAATGAATGAATGAATACCTCGATGAATGAATGAAAGAATACCTTACTGAATGAATAAATACCTCGATGAATGAATGAATGAATGAAAGAATACCTCGATGAATGAATGAATGAGTGAATACCTTACTGAATGAATAAATACCTCGATGGATGAATGAATGAATGAATGAATGAATGAATACCTTGATGAATGAATGAATGAATGAATGAATGAATACCTTGATGAATGAATGAATGAATGAATGAATGAATGAATGAATACCTTGATGAATGAATGAATGAAGCCCCATAAAAATGAAACCCTCTGAGAATGAAACCTTTGAAGCTCTTAATCTCTTTCATTATATGGAAACCTTTTAAGAGTCGTGACCCCTTCACCAGGTAATTTTAACAGACGTTAACCCTTTATACATGTGTTGCTTGGAGACTTTAACCCTTTATACATGTGTTGCTTGGAGACTTTAACCCTTTATACATGTGTTGCTTGGAGACTTTAACCCTTTCAACACACGTGTAATATTTGTAGGCTTTGCGGAGTAATATTTTGGAGACACCTGTTACACTACCTTTGGAAGCGACACACACAC